GAACTGGATTATTATCATTTNTCAGCTGCAGGAAAACCCGGAAAAACCTGTAGCACCACATCATCTGAAGATCTTGATCTGTCAATGTGCTCTCTCTCATAAAACAAAATGTAGGGTGTCTCTAGAGGCTCCACCAAATTCAATGTATCGCCAGAACACTTAGTCACACGACTATCGTCAAACTTGAACCAGTCCGTTTCGTCTTTGACCAAGGCGTAATAATGACCAGATTCAACGCCAGAACCACAGTGAACAATGACTGCAAGAAGATTATAATAGTGGTCTGCTAGATTGAAGTGTATACATACACATAATCATTCGTTCTCAAAAATTCCCCCTCTGAAATTCTGAAATTATCATGCCCCTTAAAATTTATCTAAATCAGCCCTTGTCACTATTTTTGAAAAAACAGTTGAATACGTTCCAAGCTTCCCAGTTAGGCTGTAACTTGATGATGTCAAACATATTTCCATGCGCTGCGAGACCTTGTAATTAAATTTTGAATCTATCCGTAACTCCGTTTCATCTCTTGTAATTATACCATAATCAGTAGCATCAGACTACGTGTTGATTATAAATCTGGATTCAGTGAGATACTTCAGAAGGTCTCTGAATCTCGGTAACCTCGAGAACTATCGATATTACTGCAAATTGGATTTATTTGAAGCATCTCGACCTTGAAATCTATCAGAAAAGCAGTAAAATTCAAACACATCAAGGAACTTCACCATATACATGGACTCAGTTTTCGAATAGCATCGCAGATTTTATGAGGTCTCTCAAAAACGAGGATCAGATTGAACATAGAAAAACTAAAGAAGAATGTTTCCAAACTACATCAGCATGTCATCTTGAGAGTCTAAATAGAATCAGTAAATTATTGTAAAAATTAAGGTAGTAAAAGCTTCTACCAACCGATGTACTGCTCTCAATTCAGCTGAACAGTGCAATCTACTCTTAGTCACACTGTGAAAGGCTGTGTGAAAAGTCAGTTGTTCTCGCCTCACATTGATTGAGGCAAACCAAAATGTAGATCGTGCTCCGCTGATGAAAGATCAAACTTCTAGTTATTGAAAATGCAACAAAATATGTGGCTCAAGTGGTTTGAAAGCAAAAATTATTTCAATAGCCCTGCATCATGAACCTGAAACAAACAGGAAACTTGAAATTATCAATTTTTATTGAGGAATCAGAAGAAACAAAAGAGTTCTCTTCTCTTCAAAAGTCGACCAGAAAAGTAATGCTTGACCCTATTCAGTCATGCAATATTCACAAAATTGAAACTTCAATTCAGTCTGAAATTGAAAATGTAGTTTCTGCCAACGAGATTATATCTTTTACTTGATTTGTATACGTAGCACAGTCTGAAATATCGTCAAACTTTTGAATTTCAAAATATCTCTTCAAAAAATACAACATTGAAATTTCTGTAAAATTATTTAAATAAGTTATTCTCACAAAGCATGTTTTAAACATGCTCACAGATGATAAAACATGTCAATTATTGCTTCCTACTGCAAGTCGAAGTACCTACTTATAATTTGAGATTAGTAGTATTATAAATAAATACATATATACCCTGATTTGTCATTTGAAGATGACAAATATCAAACAGTGCACATCATAAGTGTAAATTTGAGTATGAACAGTTCACCACTAATTTCACCCTTTTCGAAAAATTCGACCTTGTATGATATCGGTTTGGTTCAGACGACAAGTGAGAGGTATTTGTCATTTGCGTCATTTGCACGTTTTTCTAAGTGTTTTTGGATGTTTAAGGATAAATGGCCAATACAAGAAACTGATATCACGAAGAGTGCGAGGCAGTGTATTCTAGCTGTTAGTGCTTGCTATTCATCTTCAAACAAATGGTAGCACCACGTGCGTCAAATGAGAAATGCGAAGCGATTGTTATTTTTGGTGAGGCTCGTCGCCATTATCATGAGGAGGTACGAATGTTCAATGAACGTTTTCCGGATCGCCCTATTGATAGACATTATTTCAAACAGTTAGTGGAAAATTTTATGAGAATAGCAATGTGCAAAATAAAACACGTTCTGGGCGATCAACTAAAAGGGAAGATAAACAAGTGGACATTATCAGCGAGTTTGTAAATAATCCGTCCTCATCGAGTAGAACTATTTATTGCCTTGAAAATTGTGAGGTTTCGCCGATGACGGTATTGAAAATTCTAAAAAAAATAAATTTCATCCCTACAAAATAAAAGTGGTGCATGAACTGACGGACGATGATCAAAACCGGCGTTTAGAATATTGTGAAAAAGTTTTAAACAATATTTTGCAAAATACCAGATTATTTGAAACACATTTTTTTCAGTGATGAGGCTACTTTTTTCAAACGGTCATGTGCATAGACAAAATATGAGGTACTGACTGGTCCGATGAAAATCATCAGACTTTTTCGCGAAACTCATACCCAGTTTCCTTAAAAAGTTAATGTGTGGGCAGGAATATTGGGTGACCACATTAAAGATCCGTTATTATTGAGGAAAATCTGACTGGTGCCCTCTATTTAGAAATGCTGGAAACAGTCACAGATCCACTGATAGTGGCAACCGCAAAACATTATTCTGCAACAAAATGGAGCTCCTCTTCATTTTGCAGTTGCTGTGAGGACTTATTTGAATACCGTTTATGCTGGACGATGGATCGGGCGCCGAGGATCTGTGGAAAAATTCCTTCAGCTATCTTCATATGGGGTTACCTAACATCTAAAGTCTACGAGATTCAGAGTCACTCTATTCAGGAGTTCCGTGCGCGGTATTATGGAAGTGTGTGCAACAATTACTCGCGATACTTTGCAAAGCGTCAAGACTGATACTAACAATTGACTCTATTTTTGCCAGGTCAACGGGGAACATTTCGAACATTTACTGTAGTAACAGAAAAAGTTAGTGTTAGTTAAGTTGCCTTCCTGTTTGTGGTTTAATTCTTTGCACGGTTGAATATAGAATAAAACCCCCTTTCAAATGAGCTATCATTCACAACCCCATGCTATTTGAATTTTTCGACAGGGGATTGCTCCTCTCCAGTAAGGGATGAAAATTAAGGGTAAACTATTCATACAGAAATAGTCCGGAAGTGCTTCGTTTCGGAGATACAGGGTGTTGAAATTGAATTTTTTGTTCGTTTTTAAAAATAACTTTTGCAAGAAATAAGTTATTTGCACGAAATTTGGTACCCAGGATTTTTTCACATTTCCTAACTTTGGTACTTTTCATGAAAAAACCTAATTTCCACACCTTTCCCAAGTAAAAAAGGTACACTTACTAAACAACGCTAGAGGTGATCGTTTTCGAGATATTTACAATTTTCTAATTATGAATACGTATCTCCCAGTTCGCTAACTGAAGTTGCTGAGAACATTAGAAAAACTGAGTATGTGATGGATCTCGTCAAAATAGACAAATTTTTTCTGTAAAATGTTTATCGAAAAATTATTTGTTTTCGAGATATAAATTGTTGAAATTTTTCAAAACATGGTTGGTATTTGTCATAAGTTTTTGCAATTTTAGTTTAGAAAGCCAAAACCTTTCTTTTCGTAGATATGAATGTTGAATCTTCTTTTTGATGGGACCAAAGCTGTCGAGATAAATGTAGGTAGTGGGATGTATTAAAGTAGCTCAGTTATCAAAATGTTGCTGAATGATGGTTGACACGATATACAGTAATTCTACAGAAATTAGATATTTTTGAAGATATTCTAGATCTAGAAATGATATGATATATAATATATCCTAAATATTTAAATATAACCCATTTGACAGACTCATTCTTCATAAGTAGTTTATGAAGTTAGTAATTTATTAAATACAATTTTTATTCACTTCCTCATAATTATCACGTTGCTTCTGTGATGTTGAGCTTTTAGTCGAAATCAACGAAGTCTTTTTCTCAGAGGTCCTCAGAAACAGCTCCGATTTCAATGATTTTTTAAAAATATGTTTGTTCTTTATACATTTTGAAGCTAGTACAGAACTATTCATATTGATCAATCAATATGTATGATATTCATAACTTTTTTTCATAAAATCATTTGTAACATTACATTACTGTACATTATACGCAAGAATTATGGCACCAACTCAGTTTCGTTTGATAAATATAATAATAATAGAACCAAAGCATTTGAGAGAGATTGTAGTTATGTAAGTTACACCAGACGATTATTTATTCGAATAATAAGTGCCTCTAAATACAACTTAGCGACGTTTCGAATTTAATTAAATTCTTCTTCAGGGCTCGAAAATAGTTACTTCGTGTTGATAATATTACTATTTAAAAAAACCATCACGCATATTAGATAGGTACATATTTAAAAAAAAAATTATAAACATTACAACAAACAAACATTCGAGACAACACTAACACAAAACGACATGAAACTAAATAACTGAATAAAAATTTGTTTATTAGTTAGTTTCCACTGCAAAAAGCTGAAAAAAATCGATTTAAATATAAGGTAGAACTTTATTAAACCATGTTACATATAAATAAATTTATGGCAGGTTTTTTTGCAATAAAAATTAAATGTTGAAAACATAAAAGGATTACCTAAAATATTATTCGAAAATAATTATTGCCCGAACAAATAACCATTTGATGTATTGTAGAAACATATCTTATTTATCTACGATTTTTCGCAGTCGCTGTAATTCCATTATTATTACATATATCCTTTGAAAACAGTTTTAAGGGCCATAGTTATTATGTGAATATCTGTAATTATTTGTTATATTAACGGACAAAAATTTTTAGAAAGCTGCACAGAATGGCATTTCTTACATGAATATGATGCATGTTTTTTGAGATACTGTTGAAAGTCAGTAAAGCAATATTTCTAAAAATAATTTCAATCAAATCCTATCACTAAATGTGCTTCAGTTTACCTAAAATGAGATTGCCCTTTATTATGTTTGACATAAAAAAGAAGTGTGTTTTGTTACGTTTTGCTGACTTGTCAATTTTTGTTGGTTTTAGTTATAGAACAAAATATAGAACAAGAAGAACAAAGTAACAAATCTTCGGCGGACCTGAGGATACGAAAAACACAACATTCGACGTTATCCAGGAAATTCGTAGAAGTTATGACGGAATATAACCGGACACAAACGGATTACAGAGAGAGGTGTAAAGGGAGGATACAGAGGCAGTTGGAAATAAGTGAGTTATATCGACTTTCAATTTCGTTTGGTGGTCTAATTCTATGTTTTCTAGTTTGTTTGTTGATTTTAGTAGGTGAAGTCATATATCTTAACCAGTTATCGAAACGAAAATTCGAAAAAAGTGTTTTCAATTCAAAAGTGTTTCAATTATAATTACTCTTGCTCAGTAATTTTTGAATTTTCACTTGTATACAATATTTTTCGGAAATAATGAAATCGTGGACTTTTTTACAGAAAATAAAAAAAAATATCGTGTTCTCATGCGATAATATACCAAACCTCATCAAGCTAACAGAAATACTGTTGAAAATAGTACACTTAGAACGGTTTTCAACGTTATTTCTGTTAGCTTGATGACGATAAGTATTACTATTTTTTTCAAATAAGTACATATGTGAATTGTTGGTCCAGAGAAAATCAACTAATTCGGATTTTCTTTCGAAAACCGACATACAGACGGTTAACGGAATGAAAACAGTTGGGTATACATAGTTTGAAAAAAATAAAAAGTTCAAAAGAAGATGATTTAGTTTTCAATAATTTACTCTCAAGAACTAGGTTTGACATAGTTCGATAGAAAACAACTACTTTACCGGGTATTAATCAGTCTCCCAAAGAACATCGAACCCTTGCGCAAGGTTCATCTAGTCAATGTAAACACGAAAAGGGACGTGTCAGATTTAAGGTTGAATTCGACATTTAACTACCAACAGATTGATTTCAGAATCTTTGGTTTGTATCATACAAGTATCCACTTATTATTATTCGCTATTTTTTCTCTCTCTGGTCTTCCCCATACATTTTGGTGCCTCTATTAATTTTGGAGACTTTCTCCAACTTTATTTTCATTATTTATCGTCACCGACGACTTTATGAAATATTTACTCCATTTCACTTAACAGTATTAGTTTTATTATTCTTTGGTTTTTTCGTTCAAAAATAAATGTAGGTACACTCATAACCTAGATAACTTCGAAGACTTTCGGTTGTTAGTTTTCCAAATATCAGAATCTTGTAAGATTCTTGGGACAGAAGCTTTTTGGCTTTCTACTTCTTTATCACTATATGAAAATTTAGGAAACTTGCGAAGAAAGGAAGAAAGTTATAGACTTCTTAGAGGGATGTGAAGATCAATCACAAAAGTTTCTTCGAGATTCACATTGGATTGATACTCGAAAATGATATAAGAATAGGTAGAAGAAGAATTTTCTGGTTGAGAAACCTAAGAAAGTGTGAAATTGATATGATGACTCATCTTACGAAAACGCCAAATGGTGGGTTTTACCGATAACTCAAAACCCGTCCATCAAAGCTGACCGGGCGGTAGTAGTTAGATTCGACAGTGATCGCCAAATGAGAAATCGCTGTCTATCTCTCTGCAATTTTGAGTGCAAACAGATCACAAGATGATACCAACGTGCAAAGCCTTTGCATTCATGATCCCATACCATCATAGAATAAGTTTTATAAAATAGGTGAACAAAATGTTCAAAAAGAAGAAAATTGAGTTCATCGAACTGTCCGCACTAACGAAGTGTGTTTTTGTTCTGTAGATTTAAATGAACCCTAGGATAACTTTGAACAATTACAGAGATATTTTTTGTAGCTGCTGGTCATACAGTTTGAGGGAAAGTCGAGTATCATTTTATTAAACCATCCAAGTTAAAATATTTTTGAACACCTCGTTTCTACTTCCTGAGTGTTTGTAAAACTATTTGTTGTCTGTTGAACTTTTGTAGAAGGCTTTCTAATTATTAAAATTTTTCTAATATTTTTCATTTTCACAATAGCCGGTAGACAAACAACCAATGAGGAATTAGAAGAAATGTTAGAACAAGGAAATCCAGCAGTGTTCACTCAAGGCGTAAGTAATAGTTTATAATTTTTTTGAAATGTATATTCTTGAAAACTTTTTATGATAATAATTACAAATCTTCACAATATAGATTTTATTTCCAATACGCGTTTCACTACATAGTATTTTTCTCAGTTGGACTGGTCACCAGTATAGATTTTATTTCCAATATGCCTTTATTCGACTGGTCACTAGGACAACTGGGGAAACTACTAGGAAGTGAAATGAATTAAGTCTAACGTAGATAGTCCCTGGAATATCTGGCCTGACCTAGAGATGGCGGTAGATGTTTCAAAAATCTCACTGTATAAGAAAGTACACAATCCTATAAGACATGTTTCAATTTTGAAGACGTTGCGTTGTTTAGTATTTGTTTGGTAGCCAACAATAGCGAAAATGGAGAAAATTGGTCATCGTTGTGTGGAACAACAGTTTTATTTGAAGGGCCTCAGCCCAACCAATTTAACAGCTGAAGTGGATTCTACTCTGGGTGAGTCTGTTTTTCGTTTACAACAGTAACATTTTGTTTAGCAGAGTTTCAACGAAGCTGTATGAGCTATAAAAACGAGCATCGCAGTGGTCGACCAAATGAGGTGACGACTCCAGAAACGGTGAAGAAAATCCACAGAACCGTACTAAATATTCTTCGACTGACTTAGAAGACATTTCCAAAAGTGCGGTGCATTGTATATTACCTGAAAATGTTGACATAAGAAAGCTGTGTGCGAGAAGGGCGCCGCGTTTGCTCACACTCGAGCTAAAACAGCATGTCGTGAAGATGTTTCAATTAAGTGTTTAGCCAAGTTTCACAGCAACAAAGCAGAATTCTTGCATAGTTTGATGACCATGGATGAAACATGGGGTCCATCACTTTACACCCAAGGCGAAAGGACAATCAAAGCAGTGGACTCAAAAGGAAGAACCGGCTCCAAAAAAAGCTAACACCATCTGCGGGCAAGGTCATGGCATCGGTTTTTTGGGATTCGCGTGAGATAATTTTCAATGACTATCTCAAAAAAGGTAAAACCATCAACGGCGAGTATTATGCGNTCTTGATGTAAATAAAGTATATTTGTGTTTATCGATAACCTTTCGATTTTCAGATAATAATGGAAACGCAACAAGCGAAACAAACATTAGCCGATATCGAAGCGCGGCACTCCGATATCATCAAGTTAGAAAATTCAATTAGAGAATTGCACGACATGTTTATGGACATGGCAATGCTGGTGGAGAATCAGGTAATTTATTGTTTTGTTTTCAGTCGTTATCTAGGTCAGCGTCGCGGCGCATTGCCCATGAAGGTCACAATAAATACAGACGGTAACTCTTTATGCCGGGTATTTCAAATTCAACTCTCATCTTTGGAATCTGGGAAACTATCGGAGATAAGAAGATGGATCGAACTGAGGCATAGTTGCGTATTTATGTGACCTACAAAGTGACGTTTAGTACGTTAAAAATGGTATTTCTTGAAATATTGAGAAAAAAAAATGGAAATTTTGTGAAATCGTTTTTATTTCTTGACGTCTGCCCTCACGCTCCGCAACAAAAAGTATCTTGGCTACATAACAAGTTTATAAATTACTAGAGATGCTCAAGAAGTTGTCTGTGAATGTTCGAACAAATTATCACTCTTTTCTTTGTGACGCAATGCACATTTTCCTTCTTCTCAATCTCTAAAGCTCCCAAGTTGAGTTGAAGATTTCCGACATTTTTGTATTCACCCAGTCCATAAATTCTACGTTTCAGTGTTAGGTTAGGTTAGGTCAAAAGTAAGTGGGTCTATTCGACCCTCCACCGCAACCCACAAGGGTTTATTGTGGCTCACACCTATTCATACTCGGCCAAATAAACCCAGCTTCTCAACGAATCTGATTAGTTTGTATGCTGAGTGGTCTTTCAGGTCAGATGGTAAGAATGCGGGTCTGACAAACTCTGAAAACCTAATTTGGTTTCCAGCGGAGCAGGCACAAAGTTTGTGCTCTGTTGTTTCATCTTTTTCCAAACATATGCATATGATGATTCGGGCGACAGTGACCTGTGAGAATGCCTGTTAGACATCGTAGTTCATCCCTACTATAGTCCAATGTTTCAGTGTACTCATACCCCATAAAAATGAGTAGAGGTCCTGGCTGGCCTTCTCACAGAACCTTTATTTCCGAGCCACCTGCCACCGAACCAGATAATCGGATATCCGCCTTGTGTTGTGAGGGGGAGCACCATCTTGTTAGTACCAGATGAGAAAATATTCAGCTTGGCTTGATGCGCCTCAATTGAAGCAAAAGCTAACAATATAGAGAGAGAGAGAGAAAGAAGATAATCAGCCAATTGGAAATTGTCCAGATGATCTTGGAGAGTTGATGTCAAAAAGTGATAAAACTCTTTTCCATTTAGCATATCGTTATAAATGCCAACCCACACCGTTAAGACTCAATTACACTTATGGTCGAATTTCTCGATATTGCCTGGGATTGTTAATGCTCCAACATTGTTTCGATTGAATATTCCACAATCCGTGAGTGAATGTAGTTTCATATATCCAAATCACATTTTCTAGGTCAGGAAAAAATTAAAACGATTTTACAAACTTTCCGTTTTTTACAATATTTCAAGAAATACTTGAAATTTCTAATATTTATAAAGGTTTATCTCAATTTAATCGTCCTTGTATCTCCTTCAATTTCCGAGATCCAAAGATGACAGTAGAATTTGAAATACAATGAATACCGGTACTACAGAGAAATTCAGTTGTTGCTCTCTTGAGAGAGAAAGAAAAAAAAGATTGGGGTTGATAAGGAAGGTGAGGCAAGAATCTCTTCAATGAAAAAGAGTGTTTGTTTCATAAGAAAAATACATGAAAAAAAGGCTTTCAGGATGGTGAGTTGTAAAGGAAGCGTTTCTCACTGGCGTTGACTGCTCATTTGAAGGGATTTTCCAACAAACGATGTTAAATGATACAAAATTCATAGTCAAATAACAGTGTTATAAGAAGAATGCCAGCCGTGTTACATACACACTCGGTTAAAAATCCGGTGATACTGAAGAAAATAATGCGTATATAAAGTTAATGAAAAGTTAATGAGATTGTCCTTTGAAATGAAATAGTTGAGTTGAATATACAGAGCTTCCTAACGAAACTATTCACAGGGAATATTTCCGAAACTAAAGGTTTTCAAGGGTATATATTTTTAAGCCCACACGACATTTGTAGTTCTTTCACCACGCGTTGTCCTTAGTTTTTTTTTATCTTATGTGATTGCAAAATATACCATATTGATACACCATTTCAATGGTCTACTCAAATATAATATTTCAAAATATCAAGTTATTCTAACCTAAATTGAAATGATGGATTTAAATCTATTTTTCTTCGTGTATGTTTGGGTGCAATGGATATGTGACTGATCTAAAACGCAATCAAAATCTATGATAAGTTTTTAGTAATCCATGAAATAATTTTTTAGAATGTCTATCATTCGCTAGTTTGGCTATGAATAATCCGTATGAATGAATTATGGTTGGTACTGTCACTCCAAAGTCAACATTGTATTTTCATACTCGATATTTTAATACCAATATAATCATAAATAGATTTGAATTGTTTTGGTTGGTTTCCGGGTCTTGCCATGGTCTTCTTTGGTTATAATCTCCAAACGTTTCGACTGCAACTGCGGCAGTCATCTTCTCGAAGTACTCTTCTTGGCGTGTCAACTGAAACGTCAAGAAGAGTACCTCGAACATGCCACTGAAGATGACTGCCGCAGTTGCAGTTGAAACGTTTGGAGATTATAACCAAAGAAAACCACGTCAAAACCCGGAAGCCATCCAAAACATTGACGCCAGTCGTGAAGGCCTATTTTCCCAGATTTTAATTGTAAGCAAAAGGGAAGTTGAATTACTTTCCACGAACTTGGATCCGGTATGCATATGACATATTTGTGATTTTGGACATATTCCCGACCAATAAGTTTACATATGGAATTGAAAACACCGTGGAGTTATTATTCTTGGATGCCTTAGTGATTAAAAGTAACCAGGGTCTAGAATTGTATCCCTATAGAAAGAATACCAGTACTTTTAGATATATTCCTGATAGCAGGGCTCAACTTTCTTGTTCATAGGCTGTCTGAAATTGGTAAGATGGCACTAGATTCTTGGATGCTTTCGAAAGTCTGGAAATAGCAAAGTGTGGCATGACAACTATGAACAGTGACAAAAGTCACATTCCGAGCAGTCCATTTTTCATCTTTACATGAATCGCTCTCTTAAATTCAGCGGAAAGTTTCACGAGAAAATTTCTCGCGAATTTCTACCCGAAATCATTGATGTATGCCTGAAAGTGTACCATGGTAATATAAATAGTGACCAGTTTTAGAGTTAGGAATTAGTGCACTTCATCTCCTGAAGACGCCAACTTGGTTGTTGAAACGTGTGTCGAGAAGAGTGTTGCAGTTCTGGGAACAGTGCTTGTTTTGGATGTCTTCTACGCTAGAGGTTCCAGTTCTATCTTTCATTTCAATATTGACTGTCGGGAGGGGACTACCCCCAATACCCCATAAATCCGTCCTTGAGCTATGTAAGCTATTAACAACAGTTAATACCAAGAATTGCCCGGCTTTCAAAAGTTAGCAGTTAGTTAAGCCTGATAACCTTTAGTTTAGGTGTCGGGATTTTTTTGTATTTCTATCCATGTCGGAAATATTCAGCGTAAAAAGTTTTCGTTGAGAAGTCCGGTATTTAAAAAGGGGCTCTTATATATAATGCCAAGTGTGGTTAACAATTTTCTACATCAATTGGTCAAGAACCTACAGCGTAAAATGAATCTTACTAAATTGCTTTTCGTAATCTCCCTTGTCCCCAAGTCTCGTTACTAGCTCTTTGCTTGCTGTGTTCCACTTTAAATTCGCACTGGTCACTCTGTTGTTCGGGGCCCATATTTATATTGTTGTAGCAGGTATCCGGTCTGCTTGACCGGGGACCTGAATTATTTTCAGGTATCTTGCGTGACAATAATGTCCTTCATGTTTGTGGTAGTCTCTGCGAATCATATCGCTTGTTAAGGCAGTTGGGGCGTTCTTCAATTTCGATTGCTTCCCGAATTATCCTGGCCTGAAGATTTTTCTCCGTAGCAATGGTGTTGGTGTTTTCCAAGCTTATTGTGTGGCCTGTTTCTTGGTGGTGTTTGAAGAGACGATGCTGGATCTGATTTGCGAACAGCTAGTTCATGTTCATAGGCTTTGTTGGAAATTCTTCTATTGGTCTGGCCGATGTAAGTTCTGGGACAGTTACAACATGGTATTTCGTATATGTCCTGTTCGAACTCAGAGTGGAACACAGCAAGCATATAGTTAGTAACGAGACATGGGGACAAGGGAGATTACCACCTCGTCCTCGAGTCATGTAAGTACAAATCTAAGTGATTCTTGAAAATGGTTCCATATATATATGGAGTCAAAAAATCAAAAATCAAACTCTGCTTTACTTTGCCAAGCTTTCTCTTCTGATGTGAAGCTTCTTCAGGGCAGTAAAAATGAACGAAAAAAAAATAAATGGAACATCTAATTGACGAGAAAGTTGTACATGTATAGGATTTTTTTGTCGCTAAGATTATCCACTCGCACTTGCTAAGATTATCCACTTATTCAATAATTCTTGTCTGTTGTAGAATTTTGGCACATTGCTTGAAATTGTTTGAGACCGGTCTCAGTAAAGGACAAGTCGGATACAGAGTCGGCAAATATTAAACACACGAATCTGTTGTGGAAAACCGCGGCCTAAGCTCATCAGAAGCATTGAAACTCCTTATATTGTTGCCATACTTGAAACAGTTTGGTATATTATAATTTGAAAAGTGCATTTAAATGGATGCACTTAGTGGTAAAGTACTGTCCATGTAGGTAGATTTAAAATATTTAGCGATGGCGTTTGCAATATCATCTTCATTTTCAAAATACTGATTTTCATAAAAGAATCTATAGGTCACTCCAAAATTGCTCCTTTTGTATTTTATGTAGTTCCAGAACTATTTGAGATTTTCAATAAAATAATTTTCAATACTCACGGAAATTATACTAAACAGATAAGGAAAAATTATGATAAACTCTATAGAATCACAACTTTGAAAACAATGTTTTCGTTTCAATGCAATAATATTTCTGAGAATTTAGTGCCTACTAATATGGAACTGTACTTTAGTTATGAATTGATTCTTGTATGTACCAAACTGGGTATTTGTTGTTCATGTAACTATTTTTTTAAGTATTGAATAAAGGATGTTATAGAATTATTAAAGTTGGATGAATTATTGTTGAAACTGATCTTGAAGTCTATTTCCAGGGAAGAGTGATAACTGGAAACATTCACGAGATATGTTGTTGATTTAGATTCACTTGCTTCTGTTGTTTTTTCTGTAAGAACCAATTCCAATATATAATTTCAATCATTCAAATACCGTTCAAAGAGTACGGGTCATACCGGCAGATCAATTTTGGCTTCGAGAGACCCTTGTCAAAAATATATGGTCTGCTCCGTTGATCACAGGGATGTTGAAGTCGCCTATAATGAAAAGATTGCTCACCTGAAATCCACCATAATTTAGTACAGAGTATAGACACTATCTGATGGAATGAACATTCGTAATAATGAATACGTATTCCAAACGAATAATTCTGAAGTGGCATTATTGTGAATATGTTCAGATATATATAAGCGGTTTTACGTCTCGATGTATTTTAATCAAATCGGCGGCCGACTCAGTGACAGATTTCCTACAAACCGCCTCATATGTCTTTAGTCTAAGTCGTAACATATTCTTCTTCAATATTGAAATAAAATAATGCGTTGGTTTAGGTTCATAATACATATTTATTCTAGTGATCTTAGAAGGATATAACTGCATCAATCACTTTTAACTTAGCAGAAGATATCAGAAGTTTCAAAGAAAACCTTCATAGATTAAAATCACAGCTCAAAAACACATTGTTTACGATGGCCTGTACATAACTCATCATATTTTTTTTTCTTCAAACTATGAACAATAAAAATGTTCAATTCAGACTATCGAAGGGGTCTTGGATGAACCAAACAGTCTAGAAAAATTTATGGAGAATTGCTTGATAATTGTCAATCTGAAAAAAATATTTGTTAAGGTTCTCCTGAGGATCAAGTTTATTTGACGAATCCCAGCGGGCTACTAAAATTGCATGGCTATATTGATATTTCTTATGTTCGTAGTGACTTTTCAGACTGATGTATTTCACTAATTATTAACAGTACATTGGTATTCATGGCAAACTCATTTCATATTTTATTGTTGATTATTCTTCGCTCTTCTCTATTGCTGTTAAATTGTACGTATTTTCACACATTACATTTTAAAGAAATTACTCGAACAATCGTTCATACTGTTGCAAATTACTTTAATTGATTCCTGACTAACTAAAACTAACTAAACTAAAAGGATGTGGCTAGTGGTCTTATTATGATTTGAAATACAAATTACCTAATCTATTTGGATTTAAACTGAAGCTAAACAAATAAAATTCAATTTCATAGTCAGGTATTCCTTCATATTGTATTCAGACTTCATTGATGTGGGTACTGAATTGGGTTGAAGATTTTTGGAACGCGTTCTTGTATTAAATATCACAAATTAAAATCTTTGGTGAAGTCAGATTTCAGTCTGTTAGAGAAGAAGGAAGATATATCAAACAGTTTAACACTTCTTTCACAAATGCATGAAAATCTTACTCTGTCCTGGATTTTAACCCCACTTTTCCACCCGCTGGGCCATTCTAGGGTGAAATGATAGATCGGATTGAGTACCATGTAGAGCATGCCGTGGATTACGTACAAACGGCAACTCAAGATACCAAAAAAGCTTTAAGATATCAAAGCCGTGCCAGACGGGTGAGTCAGTTTCTAGCATATAAGTATCATTTTTGTGAGAGACCGCTTTTGATTTGATTTTTTGTTTTTTTTTTTTCATTTGATTATCCTCTCCTTGAATCCTTGTTTTTTCCACTGTTGGTGATATTGTATTTTGCTTTGCATTTTACTAACTCAAATCGTTACTAACTACTCTGTGCCTTTGTCACTGTTCTCTATTTTGTATACTAAATGTTTGTACATACATTTTTGTTGCGATATTTTCTTTTGGTGTACTTTCCCCCACTTTTTCCCCATCCACCATTCCAAAACTTAGGGGGAACTCGTAGACAGAGTGGAATATCACGTTGGAACTGCTCAAAACCACGTTCAACAAGGTCAAAGCGAGCTCAAGGCCGCCCAAGAGTATCAGTCTAAGGCTAGAAAGGTAGGTGATGTCCCTCGCTAGATGTTAACCCGTTTCATGTGTTGCTGATGTTTATTTTTCTTTCTCATAAACTGCTTAGGTGCAATCATGTTTTATGAAGAAATAAATTCTGAATTATCCATATTCTCTAAAATAGTTCGTAATTTATAATTTTTATTTCATTCATGTTCATGAAGAGACTATATTTTCAATTTGTTCTTCCTTCATTGTATACCTCTATTTTACAGCATTAATGAACAAATTTTTCGAAAATAACTCATTTGTTTTCTTTTTTAATTCGGCATCCTGGTAGCACAGAATAGGTACCTTTACTGAATAGAAACTCAACACTGGGCATTTGATAGTAAAAGATGGAATTTCTGTAATCTTCAATCTCTTCCTGGGATATGCTATGTGATTTTAAATTTCCAGGTTGATAATTTATTGCGAATTTACCTCAACATCTCATTAAGCCAACAACTCTTTGATGAATACTTGCTTCAGTTTATGAAATTCACTAATAGTGAGTTTCAAAAACATGTTACCTTTTCTTTTGGCTCAATTTCATAAAATTCGATAGCACTTCGTCTGTAGAAGCATATATTGATATTCCATTTTTCAACATCGATATTTGGGAATTTGAATTTTGTATACAGAACATTTGAGATTAAAGTTGATAATTACGATACTTACTGTGAAATATGAAGTACCTACAATTCATTGGTTGTGAAAACAGCTATTTATGCTGTATAAAAGAATTGAAGCTTAGGAGCTTTTCAATAAACAAGATATAAACAATGTGAATTTTCAATCAGTAAATTTCCAACGGCTCGCGTTTGTTCTAATAATTAGGCCTTAATGAATAAAAAACTCTTAAGGAATTTGATTTGTTCACTTACAATGTAACGAAAATACATAGTTTGAATGAGAGGCTGATTCACCAATTATGACTATGAAAATAGTTTGTCTGCATGAACCCAAATGCAAGATCTGTGCCGATGAGGAATCATTTTCATTTGCTGATAGGTAGTGTATCTAATATTTTCTATTTCCAATACAACTCCAAATTTGTGTTTTGGAAAAAAGCAAGTAACTCGGATATTCCAAAATTGTATACCTCACTCAAATAGAAAAAAGATCGGAATAGGCGGTAATATTTTTTTATGTAACAGATGAAAATTACAGGTTGATAACTAGCATCCCTGGTGAAAGTATTTTGCCAAAAAGTGAAAAGTTTTTTATACAGCAAAGTTGTTCTGTGCTATCATCTTTTGGAGCAGATAACATAATTCTCATACGTATTTTGAATCATACATTTTGCTATCCATATAAACTTTCGAAATTGGACTGAACTTAAACATTCATATCATCAGTGTATACTTATGAGTATCAAAGGAATTCAGAATTTACCACTTCCTACAGGACAATATTTGGTTTTCACTTTTCATACAGGGTTTGTACGTATTTTTATGAATAACATTTTTATGTATATAATAATAATGCAAAAGATGTGTTTCCAATAGTGAAATATGATTCTACCGAATTCAGATGCTTTATAACAAAACTTCACCCTGACGAAAATAACGTCACAATCAAACAATTTATTTACAGTAGATGAAGAATAAATTTCCTTACATTGTAAAATCAAAATCCGTGCAACATGTACCAGTATTTTTAAAAAAATGGAGTGACATTTCATTAACCTTAAACTACTTTAACTTTATATTCATATGAATTGTGTCCTTATTCTTTCCAGGATGCGAGTAATATTTTTAAAACACTACTCGAAGTTGTGTAGCAGCAAAGATTGCAATACAAAATTTCTACTTGAAATGAAATGATTTGCTGTATACTGCCGTGCTTAGACAAGAGGTCGTATCTAGTTTTGCAAGAGTTTTGAGTTATTTGGAGATTAGTAAAACCAATTGGAATATCAGTGTTTATTGTATTCAGAATTTACTTTTTGGAGAACTGTCGTTTAGTGTGGTGAGTCGTTAATGATTCAATAGTTTAACATTTTAAATATTACTATTCAAGAGAATTTGATGACTTTGACAGATACGACTTTTGGACTAATTTATAATGCCTCACCATGAAATGAACTTGAGTTATATTCTTGTGAGAAATACGACCTTTTGCCTTTGGAAGAATCATATACGACATATCGACTTGGGAAATGAACTAACCAAATGAATAAGTGATGTTTATTAGGATTAATTGGAAACAAAAAATCATGTATTCACAATATTTCGTGAGAACTGAGAATGGAAAATCAGTAAAATCAGTTTTTGATGATTGAAATATTTTATAAAAAAACTTCAATCTAATCCGGTTTCTTTTTCGGTCTCCGGTAACTCCTCCCAAAACTTTAGTCTATTTTTGGTTACAGAGATTTCTTTTAATTTCTGAATCAAGTTATGTTTTCGAGTTGGGTTTATTCCTTTCGGGGTGGATCTGATTTGCGGCCGAGCTATTCCTTCTTTCAGAGCTTTCGCAGTTAGGAAACACAATTCAATTCGCTCTCCATCAAACTTTGTTTTGTAAAATAGTTTTTTGGAACCTCTCACGAAATGTACTTCACAAAACATAGATACTAGAGGTTTTGGCTCCGTTTTCTTTAGTTTGAATCTGGATGAACAGTCTGTAATATCCAAAAAGTCATTACATCCATGTGAATGCAGGTCGTACGTCCACTATTTGATATTTGAACACAAGTTTTATAGTCTTCAAAATCTACGACTTTGCCCTTTCTGTTTTAATGACTTCCACTTGGTGATGGAATGAGTTAGCACTCATGAAAGTGTGACCAGTTTGAAGATATTTGAGTTTTAGTAAATTTATTATTGTACATTCAAAATTAATGAAGTGAACTAAAAAACAGTACAGAGCCCAGTTTTTATTCGGAGCTGCACAATTATCCATCCAAAGTGTTATTTCTTTGGCATCTCTGTGTGATAATAGATAATAATCAGTCGTATATGGAATTTTAAAGCAGTGTTACGACAGTCTGACTCAGTGCAGGGCAGATAGGGCAATTCGACCATGTATTTGCTCATCAAATCCTATATGAATAGCAATAAGAAAAGTCTCAACTGTCAGATAGGACGACATGACGTAGCATCGACCAGATACGATACTTTTATTTAGTAACCGCTTGATATTCTCGAGATACGACAAATAGTGCATGTTATTTTAGGTATTTAGACTGAAGATACGACATTCTGACTTTGTCCCTTGGATAGGTTGTCTTCAACAGAAGCGAAATATTCGAAAACCTTGAAATACAATTTTTGGTCAGTTACGACCTCTTGTCTTAGCACGGAGGTATAAGTCTTGGGTTCAGTGGTTTCAAGACAAATAATAAAGAAAAGGTGGAATATTAATTAAATCTACAATGAGAAAACTCGTTAAAGAAAGTTATATAAAATAATGACCAATTTTGTATATGTAATTTCATTATTTGAGAAATATTTTTAGATAATTGAATGACAGCTATTTTTATTTTCGTTCGATAAAACTCATATAATAAGCAGATATGGAATATATCATGAACTATTTGTATAACACGTTTCAATTTCTAGTCCTTGTAATTGCTTTTTTGTCGATTGTCATATTCTAAGTATTTATTTTGAATAAGCCAATACTGAATTTTTATTATTTTAGGGTTTCTTTGCTGATTATAGAATTTCAATTGCTGTTATTTTCAATGTATTAATCGAAATTGACATGTACTGAAAGTGATATTTGGTTTCAATTGACCTATTATTTTCATTTCAAAGAGTTTTTTATAATCCTGTTAGTTATTTACTTATTCAACATGCATAAAGGGTTTTCAATCAGTAAAGGTTTATGATACATACACATATATAAGAAATGAGAATGTATTTTCAAATTAATTTAAATTTTCAATGCAAAACAGTAATTTAAAAAAAATAGTTTGCATATATTTATATTTTGTAAATATCTCGCAAAAGAATTGAATGCTTCAATGAATTGGAAAATTTAATTATTTCTGTTTATCTATAGATATATGAAAATGTTCATGATTTTTGAGACAAGAGAGTATAACTGAATGTTATACAGGTCCGAACTTCCATTGTCAAAAAAATGATTTGAAATCTGTAATTAAAAAAAGAAAAAAATAAATTATATATAGAAATGTTTAAAATATTAAAAATAACATAAGCGACATATTTGGATGAATACCTAATAAAAAAAAAGTACTTGAAAAAAAATCAACAATGAATATGAAATTGAAAAATATGAAAACACTGATTTGAAAAAAAAATTGGCTTCTTTGATCAATTACATTGTTTAAATATCTCCAGTATTTTTGCTTATAATGTTATTACCATTAATTAAACACAAATGTGAATATTTCGGTAACAGAATGTACACAATTTTAAAAAAGTATTTTTTCCGATTAATAAATTTCTGAGTTCTGCTAATTTGAGTAATAATATTTCTAGAATTTTGGTTTTTGATCATCCCCAAACAAGTTGCTCGACTAGGTTGAAATCGGGCGATCTCAAAGGTCGATTATAAAATTCACGCCTGCCTAATAAATGATTTGAAAAAAATTTATTTAAAGAATATTCCACTCAACCCGTTATAA